TTATAATAACGACAGTTACGCTTCAACTTTTAAGAATTCTGAACTATAAGCTTTCTTTTTTTTAATCTTACTCTTCTCCTACCTTTAAGAAACAAGAATCTCAGGTCAATTAAAACAAAAGTTAACAATTGTGAGTACAACTAAATACTTATTTGTAGCCAACGGTTAAATCAGTTGCCTGATTCCAACTCTTCGGGCTTCTGCTGTGGAGCAGAAGTTCCTTTTTGTTGTGCTGCCCCTGGGAAAAATAACAGGAACCTCGGTCTGACCTGTCCGGAATTTCTCGAGGTTGTCTCATGAAATCCTACTGACCCTCCAGCAGAAATCCCCAGCTTCTGCTAATTTGTGTATCCCGAATTTCAGGTGCCGTAACCTTGGCTTGTTTCGTCAGGTGAATGAGTTCCTTGGATCTCAAGCAAAACAAACACATATTTCAGCCTCAGGAACACCCAGAATATTGCCTTGGGTGCAGCAAGAGGGAACTGAGGAACCACGTTTCTTTGAAAGAGGGATGTTACAAGGAAGGCTTGAGGCAGCTGTAGTTCATCACCGCATCCAGCCACATTAGCTTGGGGCTCATGTTTGCAATATTATTTAAATGACTGTTTTGACCTGAGGACTTGCTTCAGTGCCAGTGTTTAGAGTGAACATCCAGCAAAAAGCCCTTAATAATGTGTTTTCTTCAAACATCAGCTAAAAAGTCTGTGTTACAACGGGAACAGTTAGATCTCGGCAACAATTTATTGACAAATGGAGGCTTTTAAGGGGTAACAATTAGTTGAGAGGATCCGATGAGTTTCTGGCACAGTAACTCACATTGCTTGCTAATTCCAGTGTCCAAGTTTAGCTGAAATACTAGGAATTGAGTGTTATGAAAAATGTCACTAATATGAATCTGATTTTCAGATTTCGTAGGGAATGAAAATGAAACAGGTGATGCAGATGCTAAACGTGTTGAAATTAGAACCCACTTCTTTTCTGATACGGTGGCAGCTTTTACACCACAGAAATGCCCTTCATGTGAATAGTAAAATCCCAGCTTTATACTGGGATAACGGCCATATCTGGATCTCAAACTGGAGAGCAATGCGGAGCGCAGACTGAAGACTAAACATTGCTTGGACTGGATATAATTTTGCTGACCTTCCCTGGCAGATTCTTCCATCAAATCTTTTCTCCCAGACAGAAATCCATTTAATATTTCACCCACCGGTGCACTTTCTTTTCTTATTTCTTATTTATTGGTAGTTCTTCCTGCCTTGCCTTCTGGAAGCTATTCCTACCCACCGGCTCCTTTCCAGCTTGCTGTGCTGGTTGAGTTACACGAGCTTTAAAACCATCATTTATCAGGCTGTTTGGCTCCATTTCTTTTGGCTGCGAGTTTCTTGTGTGGGAATTGATCACTTAATGGAAATGCCCTTTAATAACTTTCCCGTTATTAAATAAACAGTGATAACAACCATCGGCATCCACACCATTTCCATGCTGGAACAATTCCTTACAACATGCTTCCAAATGCAAACATAGAGATGAGGAAATCACACAGAGGGATGGAAAAACAACGAATCACCACGGAATTGTGACACGGTCTGGACTGAAGACACAATATTTCAAACAGCTGAGAACTGAGAGGAACTTCCATTCCAAACCCTGTCCCTCTGGCTGTCTGTACCCGAGCTGTGCCTTCAGACAGCAGCCCGTGCCCCTGGCAGCCTGTGCTGGCCTCCCCTCCCAGACACAAGGCCACTCAGCAACCAAGATTTAAACAGCCCAAGTCTATAAAACCAGGAAAACCAAAAACCTGCTGCAGTCGACGGCGTGACCTGCCTCGTAGCCTTTAGCAGTCTTGGGAGCAGGCACAAATGGACCGTATTGATTTCAGCCAGATCAATGTTTCTTTCTCAAGGGTGGTTTTTTTTGAGGACTAACCACCTCCCGTATTGATTTCAGCCAGATCAATGTTTCTCAAGGGTGGGTTTTTTTGAGGACTAACCACCTTCTGGCTCCTGTCCCTGCAGTAACTCAGCGTGTGTGAGTCAGGGACCTGGCTGTAACCGCCCACAAGCTTTAACCCCCGTTATAAGAAATAAGCTGCTGCTTTCCCACTGCTGTGGCTGAACATCATGGAACCTCCTCACTCCCTTGAATTTTGTGACTGCCTGGAGAAAGCAGCTCAGCACCCAGAAACACTGCTTTGGGTGGGAGGCTCGGAGAGAAGCCTGGTCCCACGGCACCCATCCTTTCTCTCCTCCCCTCCCTCCAGCCCCTACGGTACCAGCTTTCATTAAAAATAGGACCCCAAGTGTGCTCTCTCCTGGTGCTGCTTCCCTGGGCAAGAAAAGTGATCACAGGCAGGATGGAAAGTGCCCCATGCAGTGGCAAAGGTGGAAAGTGACCCGTTAAGGTGGAAGACAACATAGTAGAAATGACCAAACTTCCTTCAAGCTGCTAAAAGGTGACCGAGTCTCTCATTAAGAAATCCTGGGCTGGATTAATAACCTAGTGCAGTCACCCTATTCTCCCTTCCTCGGCTGAAAACCTTCCTGGCACCTCGGTCTGACCTGTCCGGAATTTCTCGAGGTTGTCTCATGAAATCCTGCTGACTCTCCAGCAGAAATCCCCAGCTTCTGCTAATTTGTGTATCCCGAATTTCAGGTGCCGTAACCTTGGCTTGTTTCGTCAGGTGAATGAGTTCCTTGGATCTCAAGCAAAACAAACACATATTTCAGCCTCAGGAACACCCAGAATATTGCCTTGGGTGCAGCAAGAGGGAACTGAGGAACCACGTTTCTTTGAAAGAGGGATGTTACAAGGAAGGCTTGAGGCAGCTGTAGTTCATCACCGCATCCAGCCACATTAGCTTGGGGCTCATGTTTGCAATATTATTTAAATGACTGTTTTGACCTGAGGACTTGCTTCAGTGCCAGTGTTTAGAGTGAACATCCAGCAAAAAGCCCTTAATAATGTGTTTTCTTCAAACATCAGCTAAAAAGTCTGTGTTACAACGGGAACAGTTAGATCTCGGCAACAATTTATTGACAAATGGAGGCTTTTAAGGGGTAACAATTAGTTGAGAGGATCCGATGAGTTTCTGGCACAGTAACTCACATTGCTTGCTAATTCCAGTGTCCAAGTTTAGCTGAAATACTAGGAATTGAGTGTTATGAAAAATGTCACTAATATGAATCTGATTTTCAGATTTCGTAGGGAATGAAAATGAAACAGGTGATGCAGATGCTAAACGTGTTGAAATTAGAACCCACTTCTTTTCTGATACGGTGGCAGCTTTTACACCACAGAAATGCCCTTCATGTGAATAGTAAAATCCCAGCTTTATACTGGGATAACGGCCATATCTGGATCTCAAACTGGAGAGCAATGCGGAGCGCAGACTGAAGACTAAACATTGCTTGGACTGGATATAATTTTGCTGACCTTCCCTGGCAGATTCTTCCATCAAATCTTTTCTCCCAGACAGAAATCCATTTAATATTTCACCCACCGGTGCACTTTCTTTTCTTATTTCTTATTTATTGGTAGTTCTTCCTGCCTCGCCTTCTGGAAGCTATTCCTACCCACCGGCTCCTTTCCAGCTTGCTGTGCTGGTTGAGTTACACGAGCTTTAAAACCATCATTTATCAGGCTGTTTGGCTCCATTTCTTTTGGCTGCGAGTTTCTTGTGTGGGAATTGATCACTTAATGGAAATGCCCTTTAATAACTTTCCCGTTATTAAATAAACAGTGATAACAACCATCGGCATCCACACCATTTCCATGCTGGAACAATTCCTTACAACATGCTTCCAAATGCAAACATAGAGATGAGGAAATCACACAGAGGGATGGAAAAACAACGAATCACCACGGAATTGTGACACGGTCTGGACTGAAGACACAATATTTCAAACAGCTGAGAACTGAGAGGAACTTCCATTCCAAACCCTGTCCCTCTGGCTGTCTGTACCCGAGCTGTGCCTTCAGACAGCAGCCCGTGCCCCTGGCAGCCTGTGCTGGCCTCCCCTCCCAGACACAAGGCCACTCAGCAACCAAGATTTAAACAGCCCAAGTCTATAAAACCAGGAAAACCAAAAACCTGCTGCAGTCGACGGCGTGACCTGCCTCGTAGCCTTTAGCAGTCTTGGGAGCAGGCACAAATGGACCGTATTGATTTCAGCCAGATCAATGTTTCTTTCTCAAGGGTGGTTTTTTTTGAGGACTAACCACCTCCTGGCTCCTGTCCCTGCAGTAACTCAGCGTGTGTGAGTCAAGGACCTGGCTGTAACCGCCCACAAGCTTTAACCCCCGTTATAAGAAATAAGCTGCTGCTTTCCCACTGCTGTGGCTGAACATCATGGAACCTCCTCACTCCCTTGAATTTTGTGACTGCCTGGAGAAAGCTGCTTTGGAGAAAAACTGCTTTGGGTGGGAGGCTCGGAGAGAAGCCTGGTCCCACGGCACCCATCCTTTCTCTCCTCCCCTCCCTCCAGCCCCTACGGTACCAGCTTTCATTAAAAATAGGACCCCAAGTGTGCTCTCTCCTGGTGCTGCTTCCCTGGGCAAGAAAAGTGATCACAGGCAGGATGGAAAGTGCCCCATGCAGTGGCAAAGGTGGAAAGTGACCCGTTAAGGTGGAAGACAACATAGTAGAAATGACCAAACTTCCTTCAAGCTGCTAAAAGGTGACCGAGTCTCTCATTAAGAAATCCTGGGCTGGATTAATAACCTAGTGCAGTCACCCTATTCTCCCTTCCTCGGCTGAAAACCTTCCTGGCTCACAACTGCCTTTTGAGGGCTTTTTTGTGGTGTGCTTTGGGGCTTTTTTGTTTGTTTTTTTAATTCAGTAAGAAAACAAGAGGTTATTGTTACTTAAGTAGTCAGTGCACACAGTTATTAGTTTGTTGTGACAGCTTCAGGACTCTGTTAGTAGAGGCAAACGTGAGCAGCTACAACAGGCAGGGGGGGGCTGACTTGACGGTAGCAGCAAAACCTGCAGAACGTACCCCCTGAGCCACGGCCATCAGCCCTGGCCCCCGCCCAGGGAGGCAGAGCCGCTGGCTGAAGATTTCTTCAGTTCTATTTTCATAGACTGAGTCTCGGCACGAGGCTCGAATTTTGTCACATTTCCTGCTCCGGGGGCTGCCACTCCCGGCTTCCCTGCTTTCATACCTTTTGACACGGGAATGCGGGTGGGGGCAGGTCTCGGGGATGACCCATCCTGTCCTGTCTGCAAAAGAGAGAGACACACAGAAATGATGTGAAGGGAGGACTTTTTTCTTCATCTATATATGCTCATCTTAGACTTTTCTTTAGGTCTTCTTTTACCTCTCGGGCAACCATGTCCCAAATGGGGGGCAAAGTGGTGGGAGCTGCCCGGGGTGAAAAGGACCTGGGGGTGTTGGTTGACACCTGGCTGAATATGAGCCAGCAGAATGGCCAGGTGGCCACCAGGATCCTGAACAGTGTGACCAGCAGGACTGGGACAGTGATTGTCCCCCTGGACTGGGCACTGGTGAGGCCCCACCTCGAGGGCTGTGCCCAGTTTTGGGCCCCTCACCACATGAGAGACATTGAGGGGCTGGAGCACCTCTCACAAGATCCTGGGATCCCACCTAGACCCGTCTGCTAAATGATTAAATTCTGCAACTTACACCTAAACTTTCACCAAAAGAGTGATAGGGCATTGGAACAGGCTGCCCAGGGAGGTGGTTGAGTCCCCATCCCTGGCTGTGTTTAAGGGACGTTTAGATGCAGTGCTGAGGGACATGGTGTAGGGGAGGACTTTGTAGAGTAGGGGAGATGGTTGGACTCCATGATCCCAAGGGTCTCTTCCAACCTCAATGATTCTATGATTCTATGTAAGCACAATAAAACTAAACTGCTGAAACAGATTGGATTAGGGGATCGCGTCGACTGCAACACGTATTTGCACATTTACTTAAAAATGCTCTTAAAAATGCTCCATGAAGGAGCATCTCTCTCTCTGGAAGGATTTCCAGCCGGTAGCATCTGAGCCTTCTGTCTGCATCCTTGAGTATTCAAAGGAAAATCATTCCTTAAGCTTCTAAGAACGGTTCAAAACCCCGTGCGTACACCAAAAAGAAAAAAAAAAAAAAAATCCCAACTGGAGAAGTTGAATGCCGTCTGCCTGGCAGGAAGGAAGCCATTTGCAATAACTAAAAGCAACATTTACAATAGCAGTCTGGAGGCTAATATGGAACTCACATGTCGATGTCAAAACAAGTTAGGCCCATACAATTCTGTAGGGCAAAACATGCAAATGCATTCCATCAGCCTTGGAAAATATGTCAACATCCCAGGGAACCCGAATGACAAACATCTTGTACTCCCTGAAAGAGCTCCACAGTGTGTAAACATGAGGCAATCAAATGAAGTAGCTGGAATCTCAGGCATTTCTGCAGCTTTATTCACATGTAAATTATTAACTAAGGATTTGGGCGCTTTCAAGTTACTCATTTCAAGCCTAAATCACTGAAAAGCACTTTGAAAAAGAACTCTAACTCGCTTCAAATATCTGAGTTGCCTTCCTTAGGGCATACTAACATGTTGATGGTATGGAAGCCAACGCCTGCTTCACAGGCAGCTGCAGAAGCATCTTGTGTTTGCCGAGTGAAATGGCACAAAGGTGGCTCTTAGCAAGACTCCTTTGGGAGAGGACACCCTCGGGTACCAGTCTGTGACAGTGAACCCACACAATTTGGGTCGGGTACCAGTCTGTGACAGTGAACCCACAAAACTCTCTCTTTCTTGGCCATTTCTTCCAAGAACCAAGCCCTGAGCGATTCCCTCCCTGTAGGATGCTGAATTCTGGTTGATGCCACCAGACACCGATCCTCCCACAGCCCCACGGGACACAGGGTGACGCTGGCTGGCTCTGAGCTGGAACCAGTACGTGGTGCTGGAAGGGCACAGGGGCTGCAGGCAGGTCAGTAAATACTTTATGGAGAGGGAGATAAAGCCTTGCAGCCCCTAAGCCGGTTACGTCCATAATCAGCACTTGCTGCCGACCCCGGCAGGTGCGTTAAGCCCTGAGGTTGCAGTAAGGTCAGACAGTCCCATTAAAGGGAGAAAAGTCATTCAAATGTACAGAACATTTAGTGTGTTTTAGTGGTTTATAACAGATCCTGCTTCATGCATTTTACTGACACATGAAAAGAGCGCTTTCACCCACACGTTTAGTTTTGGAGTATTTTCATAACAAAGGTGTTTTTTCAGCACTTGTTCTCGATCAGATCAGGGACCAGCTTGCCCTGGGCAGAAATAGGTCCCTTCAGTGGCTGACACAGGTCAGTTTGCAATTCCCTGGGCCACCAGTGCCACCCCTGCCCTGGGCAGGGACACCTCCCACCAGACCAGGTTGCTCCAAGCCCCATCCAGCCTGGCCTTGAACCCCTCCAGGGATGGGGCAGCCACAGCTTCTCTGGGCAACCTGGGCCAGGCTCTCACCTCCCTCACAGCAAAGAATTTCCTCCTAAAACCTAATCTAAATCTCCCCTCAGTATCTCAATAGCTTCCACTGCAGAAAGGTACGGGTGGGTGTTAGTTTCAGACTCGTTTTGGTGCACTCCCTCTGGTCTCATAGTCTTGAATTTTTGGTTGTGCCGTGGTCCATCTGTAATAAAACCATTATCTGCTAGGTCTGCTAGGGTAGTCCAAGTATTTTCCTGGGAGTAATTACCCAAATCCACAGGCTGTCATATAAAAGGCAGTGACCAAGTTCTCTTTCAGGTCCCTGTGCTTCTCTTTGGATCAGGGTCTCATTTTATGGAGATCAGAACTGCTGCAGACTCCAAGAGAACTTGGCTCGGGGGACTATCAATCTCCAGCTACTCATCTGTGTGTGTCGGTGTAAATCAACACAACTGTAACACACCTTAATCCGCGGGATTAAAAAATCATGCTGGTCCATCATGAACCCACAGTCTCTGGTTTTGGACTCACAAATGCAGAGACACCACAGCCCAGGCTGAACCTTTACAACTACCGGGTGTGCGTCTTAAAATCAACTTCACCTGCAGAACTGAGGGCAATTCTATAAATTCAAATGGGAAGAAGAGTTAAATGTTTTCAAATATGAAAACTGCAAATTTGTCATAGCAACAGATGAGAGCCAGGAATTTCAGAATTATTTTCCCCTTTGCAGCTTGGCACTGCATCAGTGTATTGTACAAAGCATCTCGGATGAGGGTTAAGGAAAAAACTAAACCCAGTGACCTGAGGAAGCTGCTGTGGATCAGTTTGTCTTCTTCCATTTTATGAACTTAAACCCTCAAAGTTCTATCAATGTTGGTTAAATGATCACAACTTGGTTTTTTTCTGACAATGGGTACCGAAATGTGTTTGTAAAGCTGTCATTTGCAAAACAGATGGTGAATATCCAACTTCTGGGATTTTTTCAGGAGGCCAGGGAGGAAAAGGCACATTTGGGCTTGTCGGAAGTTTCCCTGTTCATCTGCCTAAGGACCTTAAAAAACAAAGGGAGGCATAAGATAAAGTAAATCTTATGGTTGAAGTATTTTCCTTACATTCCGAACTGGGGAGGATGACGTGAAGAAAGAAGCCGCTTTTTAGCCAGATGAAAACAAACCAAAAGAGTTTTGTCTGTCACGGTTGAGTGCATCACCACAGCAGAGACAGACATCGAGTAAAGAAGAATGAGGGACTCTTAGGAAAAAATTGTTTTCCAAGCTTCTGAGAGACAAAGGAGTTTGTAAATTAATTAATTCAAGACTTTTTAAAAAATGTGCAGTTGCCTCTAATCACAGAATCACAGAATCTTCTAGGTTGGAAGGGACCTCAAAGATCATCTTGTCCAACCGTCAACCGAACTGACAAAAATAGACACCCACACAACAAACAAGGAGCATCATCACTAAACCAGACCTCCCAGCACCACATCAACCCGTCTTTTGAACACCTCCAGGGATGGGGCCTCAACCACCTCCCTGGGCAGCCCATTCCAATGGCTGAGAACCCTTTCAGTGAAAAATTTTTCCTAATATCCAGCCTGAACCTCCCCTGGTGTAACTTGAGGCCATTTCCTCTTGTCCTGTCGCCTGTGACTTGAGAGAAGA